CCCCAAAACCCCAAAACCCCAAAACCCCAAAACCCCTATTTTGCAATATTTACTTGAAATTATTGCATTGTTAAAATATTATTTAAAATGGAGAAATCGCCAACAAAAGAGAACAATTCTCCAAATTCTCATCCAGATTACTCAATGGAAGAGGCTAAAAACACCCAAGTAGTGAGGAACCAGAGTACTGAGAGAGTTTATCCCTCCCAGGATAGAACTGGAGTTCAAGTTTCCAACCATAGTTCTGATAATAGCGATATAGAAGAGAGCTCTAGTACGAATACTTTAAGTAAGAGAATCTTCCTAATTTTGATTTATCGAATAATTTTGATCGATTATTATAGCGATAAACTCAAGTAGAGTCAGTTCTGCTTCAGATAGAGTAACTATCTGATTTTCAGATAATGGAAATTTCGATTCTAAAATCGATCATTTGGAAGATGCAGAAGCCAAACCTTTCTGGAGAAAGATGGAAGATTTAGAAGGACTCCCTCCAACAAGTCGGAATTGACACAGCGCGACCAGCTACGGAAAATACTTGATCATCTTTGGTGGTAGAGAAGGTGATGGCTCTAAAAAGATCTTGAACGATGTATTTATTCTAAACACCTCTGATGAAAAATGGATAGAACCCGAAATCATTGGCGAGACACCAAACCCTAGAATGGGCCATACAGCCCAGCTTTACAACCACACAATTATTATCCATGGAGGATGGGATGGGTTCAAAGTTCTTGATGATCTAGTGTTCTTAGAGCTACAGCCAACTATGGACAAGGTGAAAATATGGACTCTTGTGCCAAAGAATCAGACTACCCCTGCTCGTCAATTTCATACATCAAGCATAATTGAGAACAAGATGTATGTGTTTGGGGGAGGCGATGGGAAATATTGGCTTAATGATTTACTAGTCTTTAACCTCATTTCATATGAATGGGAAGGTCCAGTAGAGACAAAAGGTAGAGCTCCTTCTGGGAGACTTCAGCATGCAGCAATAGTTTATGATAAATAAGATATTTATATTCGGTGGTGAGCCTGACCGATATAGACAACTAAATGATTTATTCTACTTGGATACAAAGCCAATAAATGGATCTTCTAAAATGATATGGCACCAGCCTGATACAGAAGGTATCCCTCCTACTCCACGTGTTTCAGCTACTGGTTGCTTAGTAGACTCAGAGATTTATTTCTTTGGAGGTTTTGATGGACACAAATGGCTCAACGATTTGCACACATTTGACCTAAAGACCATGACTTGGTCAAAGAAAACTACATTTGGACATAAGCCATCCCCGCGCTGTCGGCACTCAACGAATCACTCAAACGGTAACTTATACATCTTCGGAGGAAATGACTGTGATAAGTCATTTAATAATGTTCATACGATACATTTGTACCCTCCTTCAACACTGAAGAAGGACATGAAAAGTTTGATCAATGACGACCTGTTCTCAGATGTCACCTTTGTCTTAGAAGATGGCGTCAAGATTAAAGCCCATCGAGCAATTTTAGCATCGCGGTGAGAGGTGTTCAAGAAGATGCTTACATCTGAAATGCAAGAAAGCAGAAAGAACGAAATTGAAATTAAAGATATTGGGCCTGGTAAAGATATGAGCAGTGACACTTTCAAAGCTATTATATTATATATCTACACAGATGACGTTAACTTTGAGGATCTTCAAATGGTTGTCAATTGCTTAATAGCTTCAGATAAATACGACCTCATTCGTCTCAAGAAGATGTGAGAATTGGAGCTTTCGAAAGTAATAACTCATGATAATGTAATTGATCTCCTCCACTTAAGTGATGTGTACAATGCTTCAGAGTTGAGAGATATCTGCCTAGATTACGCAGTAAAGCACTTTGACATTGTGACTAAGAGGAAAGATTATGATATCTTCCAAAAATTATCCAAGAAGACAATTGTTGAGTTATGGTAAAGTTGTATTGGCATTTACACATTTTTAGTAGCAATTTTTGAGCAAAGCTTAACTTAAATTTTACTCACAACACATTGATAGATTCTCAAAGCTTATTAAATCATTTTAACATATATATTTAGTATTAAAGGAGCAGGGTTTGCTCGAAGATTTAATCAAGGATCACAAAAGCTGCAAGAAAATCACGATACTTAAAAGAAAGTAATTATTCAACTAGAACTTTCCCAAAAGGGGTTTTGGGGTTTTGGGGTTTTGGGGTTTTGGGGTTTTGGGG